CCACTTTATTATCGCTTTCTGGCCCACGTGTGATAATGTCCTATGATATGTTCGACTCCCAAAATGACTTGGAGGCACACAACAACAATGAACTGTTTTTGCAGGAATGTAAGCCATTCTGGGAGCGGGTTAATTCTCTCTTTCTCTCCTCTCTGCAACATGGGAATAAGTTCATCCTAAGAGGTATTCCTTTGTAAATTATGCACTGTGGGGTGTTGGACACACAGGTGTGCTCAGTGGAATTGTTCCTTTCTCTCCCACCAGATATGAGGCCTCTCTGCTGGATCTGGTGGATGCAATGAGCCCGGTGCTTCAGCCTCAGTACAGCGAGAGCCGCAGCCACAACAAGGGGTTCATGCTGGAAAGTGGGAACTGGAGGTCAGGCTGGAATCGGAGTCCCCCCAGCGCCAAGCACAGGACGGCAGAGCTGGAAGAAAGCCGGATTCTGGAGGAAATCTTTTTCATTTGACGGGCCTGGTGGTTGCAGCTTTCTCTATAGATCTGAGGACTTTCCTTTCCAATGTGGGCGTGTTTACAAGTCAAAATATTGGTTTTAAATTATTTGATTGACGAATGATTGTCTCCGCTCTCCCCTTTAGTAAATTAACACAATAGTTTCCCCTTCTCTAACTTCCTAATCATGTTGTAAAAGCCTCCTTTTGAACAAGTCAAGCAGAGATTTCGTGAAACACTTCTGGGTTCTTTTCTGCACCGTTTCAAGGTTAAAAAATTTTTTTTTAAAGAAAAAAAGTACTCATGCTATTGTGGAAAAGGAATAATGTTGCTTTATTTTTTATTTTATTTTTTTTAGCTTTGCAAACTGTTTGCTAGAGCTTCATCTCTCACTAATGCACTCACACACAAAAGGACATTCCAACTATATAATTTTCCTTTTTAAGAGTGGCCTGTTAAAATTGAGTGTGCCATGTATACATACAGCTAATGCATTTCTGGAGTGTTCCATCAAATCTTGTGTTTGTACCATTTGAGTGCTTTTTAGGCAGGCAACCTGCAACTCCTCTCAACACTAATAGATATTTTCTACTTAATGAATCTCTTACAAAAGGTGCCTCTTTAAGGAAAAGAAATTTAAAAAATCAAGGTTGCATAGGACACAAAACATTGACCAAGATGGCACTTAGGTGTTATAACAAAATTAGGCATCCTAGCAATCTCAGCCGCTGCCTTTTCTCCCCTCTTCCATATGCAAGGCACTTGAGTAATAAAATAAGACCATTTCCTGGACTGAGGTTTCCTGTGACTGAGGTTTTTTTCACACTCTACCTACTCTTTGATGTTGTAAATAAAGACCAATGAGTAATTATTTTCCCCTCTCCACTTGCGATGCATGTTCCTCCTTCTGCCTTAAAATTAGTCATGTTTTAAAAGCTGCTCCCCTACCACCCCTGTTCCCCAGTTGCATGTTCGGTTATTTTGAGGAACATGTGGAATTGGTGAAATTGATCCTACAGGTTGCGGATCAACAGTCAACCTTCAGCATAGTGCACTCTCCCTGTTTTCTTGGGATCAGAGCAACTGGCTTGAAGTTCAGGAAGCACAGCTATGAATTTCTTCTCTTCTTGCACAAGGTGGGAGAATTTGTACCCGTTGAGCATTGGCTTCTAGGGGAAGAGTAATTTGTGCTTTATTTTTAGCCAGCCTACCAGAAGTAGGTCTGGATTGCCTAAGTGAAATTATGTGCCACGAGGTCCTCTTCAGCACTATGAAATCATTGATCAAGCCTACTCTTCAATTGTAGGTTTTGTGAGTGTGTTCCATGCAAGGATGGCAGATAGCTCCCATGTCATTGAGGTAGTAAATATGCTCTGGGTTATAGTCTGAATTTTAAAGGAGCCACAGAAGGTGACGAAGCCTACCACCACCAACCAAAAAGATTCACCACCTTGGTTAGCTCTTTTAGATTAAAAACCAGAGCAGATTCACTGCCCCTCTCCCAACATGGAAGCTACCAGCCTCCTCTGGTTCCATGTAGCGCATTTGATCAGCTGAGCCCTTGAGCTTTTGTCCGTATCAGTCCCTTCTCTAGCCTTGTTTCCCAAATTTCTCCATCACCAGTATCTCTTGCTTTCACTAGCCAGCATTAGTGTATTGCTGTTCACTGGTTATAATGTCTGTCCTTTCCATTTAGACATAGGAATTACAGAAAAGAAAGGGACACAGAACAAATAGGATTCCTTTCTGAATTCCATTTTTTAAGGTAGCTTCACTGCAGGGGACTACATTATAGTTTGCCTTTAATTTCTGGTCTTCTTCTGATTGCCTGGTTGTCATTCTGGTTGCCTTTTTCAAAATACTATTTTCAACCTTAAGAGAGGTGCCTTTGGACTTACATTCCAGAGCACTATATTGGAGTAGTTTTTCATCTCCAGTTCTTAGTTGGTGCCAATATTTACCTCTTTTAATATTAAATCTAGGTGTTTTTTGTTTTTGTTTTTTTGATAAAGCTGTTGATAAATAGGTTGCATTTAAACTGTTGATTTTCATGTCAAATTAAACCTTGTCTCAATGTCTTTTAAAAGGAACGTTGTCAAAGGGTTGACTTGTAAACTTTATCTATGATGGTTAAAATTCATTCATAGAAACGACCTGTCACTGAGGCACTTTTTAAAAATGTAGTAAATAAGCAGGCAAAGAGGTCATCTGCACAGCTAGGCCAACCATTCCAGATTCAATTTTGTGAAGTTCACAAAGTCAGTGAGTGAAACGGCTGTCATTTTGGGACTATATATGGTGATTAATGTGAGTCAAATGGAAAATGTGTACAGACACCTGCTGCTGTGCCCATGTCAGCAGCATCAGACATGGAATTATGTACATTGGTTGACAAATATGGGAAAAGAGGAAAGGATGCATTGTGGCTGAACAGTATTCTGTCAAGCAATGCAAATTTATAACATAATTGGGAGGCTCTGCGCATTAACCATTCAATATATTTTAAAAAAAACACAACACTTTCATATGTGTGTATTTGGCGAATGTGTACCACAACTGGTGTTTCTGGACTAACCTTTTAAAACTCCCATTAACCTGCAAACATGTACATCCTCCAGAAACCAAGCTTGCAGCTCTTTCCCATGTAGCCCACATTGCTACCAGCTGGATTGTGCAGTGTTGTTTAGCCAACACAAGCAGTAGGGAGGTTGTATTCTCACATACTTGACGTTGTTAAAAGACACTGATGGATAACAATAAAAGAGGATCAAGCTCAACCATTGTAAGTAGACAGAAATTGTTATTTTTCCCTTCTACTGAAACAGTATCAGAGAATCAAAATTTAAAAGTAGACACAAATGAAATCTGTCCTGCTCCAGACTGTTTAAATTTAGGGAGGGAGTGAAAAAGGAAGAATTCCATATCTATTTCTGAATAGATTCAGAGTGGTCTTGGGATCTTGTATCTTGTGCCAGATTGCTTTTTGCGCCTTGGATTCTGATTCTGCCTCAATGTCTAGTTGGTGCCTCACCTGTTGTTACAGTCCTCTCCCTTACCCCAACATGCACTTTGTAAAGAATGGATATGTAAAACAATCACACGTCACTCTCCTTCATTGGATTCCTCTTGGTAAATGCTCCTTTAAACTCAACTGGATCTTTTAAATATATACATGTGTGATGTTTTTATTTAATAAATTATCAAGGTGGATTCTTCCCTCTCTTTCCCTCTCTGAGCTTTATTCCTTGACTTGCTCTGTTTGCCTTTGTGGTTGACTTCATATAGAATTTGAAGTTCAAGGTGTCTCTTTTCTGCTGAAGCAACTAGCTAGACCGGGGTAGGCAACCTTTCCCCTTTAAGGGCTGAGGGACTTCAGCTCCCAGAAGCCTCAGCCATGTTGGCCAATAGTCCCATGTTAATAATAATAATACTAATACTAATAATAATAATAATAATAATAATAATAATAATAATAATTTGTATTCCGCTTATTGCCAGACAATCCAAACGGCTTAAATAAAACCTGTATAACATATCCCCCCCAAAAAAAAACACCCCCTAATCAACCTCGACTGCGTTCCTCATCCATCAACAACTGATGGGGCCACGAGAGGAATACAGGATGGACAATAGTCCCATGTTGGCCAATAGCTCCTGGGATTCTGGGAGCTGAAGTCCCTCGGCCCTTAAAGGGGAAAGGTTGCCTACCCCTGAGCTAGACTAAAAAAAACTGAGTAGTTCTTTGTGGTCTCTATGCCTCACACAATAGGGTTTGTGCCTGCGCAGAGACTCCATTCAGAAAGCTGAAAAGCTGAGCAGATTGGAGGGAGCCACACTGCCTCCCATGTACTGAGCATGCCCAATCCTGACAATCTAGCTCCTCCTTCAGTTCAAGTCCGCCACAAGAAATCAGCAGCAACCCGACTGAGGGGAGGTAGGTCGGGTTTGTGTGAGGGCACAGATGACCACTTGAAGAACCACAGTTACAGGTAAGCAACCTCTTCATGCCTTAGAAACGGTTTAAAGTGCTTTAAAGTTTTAGTATCAGTGTTGTTGAACCCCATCCATCGAAAGCCCCAAACAATGCATCGGTTGATCAAACAATGGTCCAAAATGTCAGAAGAAAATGTTGCTCTTTTCAGATGTATGTATTTAAAGCCAACTTCAGCTATGGAATTGCATTATATTCCTGGGCCAGTGTTAACCTGGAAATGCTGAAGCTTCTTCAAAACAGTAACACAAGAAGGTTGAAGCTGGGATCTGCAAGACATCTGGCCTTGCTCACACAGGGATACCCCAGTTAACAAACGCAAGGTGTT